AGCCCAGCCTGGGCAATTCAGTGGCCTAGTGTGAGCCTGTCTCAAAATAGAAGAGAAAAAAGGGGCTGGGATGCAGCTCAGTGTGAAGGCCCGGGGTTCAATCCCAGAGCTCGAGCACACAGCTTCATGTGTGCACACATACACATATGTGCACGGAATGAAACTTCCATGAAACTATTTACCCCTGTGGCCCTTAATGCACAATACTATTTTCTCTTCCTTTCTTTTCTCTTGTATTTTATTTCATTTTCATATTTATTACTTATTTATTTTGAGACAGGGTCTCGCTATCTAATTTGGATAGGCCTTGAACTCACTGTGTATCCCAGGCTGGTCTCAAACTCACAGAGATCCTCCTGCCTCAGCCTTGAGTGCTGGGATCACAGACGTGTACTACCATAGGCAGCCCTTACTTGAGTTTTTAAAAAATGGCAATGGGACCCATTCAATTGGCCCTGTGCCCTTGGAGGGCTGAAAACCTGCAGCGACATAGGGCACAGGGTCTGCAGCTTCAGCAGCCAGGAGGACAGGCTGATGGCAGGGTGGCGTCTGTCCCCAGGAGAAACTGAGGAAGACCTCGGAGGAGGCAAATGAGTACGAGAACAGAGCCAGGGAGATGGGCAAGACCCTGGAGCGCCTCAAGAGCGCGGTGGAGAGCCTGTTTCAGAAGATCGACTGCAATGCCAGCAGGATCCTGGTGCAGCTGGGAGAAACGGGGAAGATCACCGATGCCAACCTGCCCCAGTACCTTGGTGAGTCCCTCCCCGCGCACTGACCTGCACCCAGGCTGGCCTCGAACTTGCAGCAATCCTCCTGCCTCAGCCTCCTGAGTGCTGGGCTCACAGACGTGTGCCACTATGCCTGGCTCTGTGGCAGGTACAGTACTTGTGGCCCCTGATTTTCACATAGAATAGCAACAGCTTGGAGGTGAAGACTAGTCAGGGTCATTCCAGGAGTGTAGGGAACAGCATTTCAGGCAAAAGGAACAGCATAAGCAAAGGCTCAGAAGCCGGAGCAGAGCAGACTGGGGAAAGACAACAGTTTAATAAGGCTGCACTGGCCCCGTCCCTGATTTGTAGGGTAACCCAGGGTTCCTCAGCCTCAGCCACCTCACGGGGACCCTGCAGCTTAGGGTGTCCTGTGTGCATCTCTGGGCTTTGTGCACTTAGAAGTCAGGGCCTTGGGGCTACCTAGAACTAAATGTTGCCCTGCAAGGGTGACTGTGCGGTGTGCCCCGTGGCCATGCGCTGTGTGCTGTCTTGCAGCCATCATTGAGAAGCGGACCAATGACCTGCTGCTGCTGGAGGCATACCGGCGCATGCAGGAGGCCGAGGGCCCACAGCCCTTCGTCAACCCGTTCTGGGGTGGCTCTGCACTCCTCAAGCCCCCTGAGTCCATCAAGGTTGTGCCCCCCATGTTCGGGCCTGAGCCCTTCAGGGACAGGCTGGAGGACGGTGAGTCCTGGCACCCATGCCTGGCCAGAGAGGCCTCGGTCCCCTCTACGAGCCCCTGGGAAGCCGCTTGGGAGCCCCCTGGTATCCCACTCGTCACTCAAGGGGACTTTCCTCCTTGTGACCCAGGGAGGTGACCCAGTCACAGAGCTCCAAGCTTTGTTCTCCTAGCTATTTTTAAAAATCACGGCTGCCAGGTGTTATGGAGTTCACCTGTAATCCCAGCACTCTGGGAGGCTGAGGCAGGAGGACTGCACGTTAGAGTTCAGCCTAAGCAATTTAGTGAGACCATCTCAAATTTTTTTTAAAAAAGTGACAGCTGATCACTGGCAGTTGGTCAGGTATCCCCCCACCTTAGCACAATGTCCTCAGCCCTTCCAGTTCCTATGATGGGTGGGCACAGCTGTTGGCAATACTACCCTGACAAGGGCAATGATGTCTTTGTGCAGTGCACATCTTGAACAGCTGCACATCAGAGCCCTGTCTCCTCACATTCTTCTCTGGGAGAAAAAGCAGTCCGTTGTCTAGGCGTCCCTGGAAGTACATCTCTGCCCACCCGCCCCTCCTTGAGCCCTGAGAGCTTTTCCCAGCACTGCGAGGGTCCCCAGTCAGTCTGGGCAAACTTGCACGCCCCTCACGAGCCTGTCTTCGGCGCAGTCGATCACCCCCTGGAGCACAGCAACCTCCGGCAGCTGGTGCTGGACGCCTACCTCGCCAGGGAGCCTCAGAACAAGGACCTGCGCCCGGACAGCCTCCCTGAGAAGGGCGACGAGCTGAGGCCCGAGAAGAAGCTGACGCTCTGAACCCCGCCGCGTTTGTACCGGAACCGGAAAGAATAGATGTTTTTTTCCGTAACTTCCGGGCCCCTGAGCGCCGGGACCTGGGCTCTCGGGGTGGTGTGGGGCGCGGAGGGCGGGGCTGCCACAGGCTGGAGGAGTGGGTGGGCCAGTGCTGTCCCCAAGAACCCCGAGAGGGTGACCAGCCCGGGCCCCCTTTGCTGGGCCACTGGACAAAGCAGGGACGAGCAAAGTGTGGAGGCCGCATTGTGCCCCAAGTATTGCTTGATGGTTGTTTTTTTTTTTCTTTCTGGATGCTAGGGATTGAACTCATGGCTTTTGCACTGAGCTGCACCCCCCAGCCCCCTTTTTTTTCAAATTTTGAGACAGGGTCTTGCTAAGTTGGTGAGTTGCCCAGGCTGGACTCCCAGAGATCCTCCTGCCTCAGCCTCCCGGAGTGCTAGATCCTAGACGTGCACTACCACACCCGGTCAGTGTATTGCTCTTGAGACTACAGGGCCACACAGGGCCCCTCGGGTGCTCACAGCAGGGCCTCAGGCGTCGGGGGCTGGGGCTGTATCTCTGCGCATGCGTGTGTGCACCGTGTGTCAGACCTGGTGTCTCTCAGGGGCCAGCAGGTGGCCCTGAAGTGGAGCACAGACGGATGGGGCTGGCACGGTGTGATTCCTGGGCCCTAGGATGCCCCTTCCGGCTCCTTCGGCCTCGGGCCCTTTGTTTCCTCCCGAAACCCCGGCCATGCCCTGTGTGGTCAATCCCGTGACCAGGCTGCCAGTCCCCAGCTCGGCCCTGAGCCCAGGTGCCCAGTTCCCAACTGCGTGCGGCCGGGCAGAGGGACGCACCCGTGTCTGCCGGGTCGCTGAGGGCCAGGAGAGAGCCCGGAGCAGGGGGGAGCTCCCCGCCACCACAGGGAGCTGCGGGGCCCCCGGGCGGGCGCGCTGAGCTCCTGAATGCAGCTGCGCCTGAAGCCCAGCGACTCAGTCCCGCGCACCCATCTGTTTCCTATGCTGGGAATCCTGCCCCGCCACAGGCCTGACTGCTTCCGCTGTGACTTCGGTCAAGATGAGGTGAGCCAGAGGCCAGGTCTGGACCCCGCCGGCCGGCAGCAGGGCCCCGACCGCCTGTGGGCGCCTCAGCGAGGGCTCGTCGGTCGGCAGACAGGAGGACGCCAGGCCAGATTCGCACCTCCTGTTTATTGGGCCGCGCTCGGGCGGGGTTTGCAGCGGGGCCGCTCAGTCCTTCTCCTCGCCGTGGGTGATGATGTGCACCAGGTTCCGGTAGTCCAGGTTGCCGGTCACGTCCGGCGGGAAGGCCGCGAACATCTGGTCCATCTGCAAACAACCGGCAGGGGGCGCTGCGGGCCTCGCCCCGCCTCCTGCCGCTGTAGTGGGGACCCAGCATTCTGGCTCATTTTTTATCCGCAGACAGCGTCTCCCAAACAGGGCTTGAACCTGTGATCCTCCTGCCTCAGCCTCCAAGACTACTGGGATGACAGTTGTGAGCCACCACGCCTGGTTGACAACTTTAATAAAATGCGGAATCTGATGGAAACAGGCCCGAGAGGCCACAAGGGCGCTGTTTTAAATGGACTCATTAAGGTTCATTAATAATGTTGCTAGGACCCCGGCTTGCTCTTACAGGACCTTTGGCAAACTGACAAGTGGCCTTTCTTCCACACGCATTACTGCTGCCTGTTGAAAAACGACTGCAACAAATACTACTGCATGGTGCCTATTATGAGGTCAGTGGCTGGGAGAGTTGTGCAGTGCTCAACTTACACAACAGTATGGGGGAGCCCCTCGGGGCACAAGACAGGAAGGCTGTCACCATTGCCTCTATGGATCCTGGGAAGACAGATCTGGTTTGAATTTTAGTATTGTCATTTTTGGCAAGTGACTTTACTTCCTCTGGCCTCTGTTTCCCCATCTGCAAAACGACAGTGATACCGATCCTCACGGGGTGATGGAGGGAATGAAAGCGAGGCAAGGGCTGATTAAGGAGGAGCCAGTCTTGGTGTGGGGTGAGTGGTGCAGACCCCTGTGGCCCGAGCCTGGGTGCTGGGTTTCAGGGAGCACCCAGAGGACCCCGTTAGTTACCTCCTCCTTGGAGAACCTCTCTGCCTGCGTGGTCAGCATCTCCCGGACGCTGCAGAGAGGAAAGCAGGGCCGTGTCAGGGGCCGGAGAGGAAGCCGGGGTCCCTCCACCCCAGAACCCACTCACTAGTCAGCCTTCAGCACGCCTTTGCCTTCGGGGTCGAACACCTTGAACGCGTTGAGGATGGTCTCCTCGGGGTCCGCGCCTGCAAGGGAGGGTGGGGCTGGCAGCAGGGAAGCCTGGGCCAGTGGGAGCTGGCGGCCGCCTGACACCAGAGACGAGGGCTGATACCAGGTCAGGTGAGGCGGGTTTGTGGTTTTTGGAGACCAGGTCTCACTATGTAGCCCAGGAGGGCCTGGAACTCCGCAGTGACCCTCCTGTCTCAGCCTCCCCAGTGCTGGGATCACAGACGTGCGCCACCACACTGGTTTTGGGCAGCCAGATGTAGAGAGATGAGAAATTCTGACTTGGTGACCCCAGGAAAGTGGAGCTGTACCTGTGTCCTCAGCACCTAGAGAGCCACCAGCTCCACCCACCCTGCTCCTCTCCTCCAGACGCAGGCACGCAGGCAGGCACGCACATGTGCTTACCCTTCAGCTTCTCCCCAAACATGGTCAGGAACACAGTGAAGTTAATTGGCCCAGGAGCCTCCTTGAGCATTTCATCAATTTCTTCATTCTTCACATTCACACGCCCTGGGGGACACAGGGGCCTCAGAGCTGAGGGAAGTGGCTGCCCGTCTGGCCTCCTCCCTGGGGATCTGGTCTAGGTCTGGTGGGGGAGTGAGATGTTTTTGTCCCATCGGGGTAGGGTGAACGTCTTTAGAATGGTGTCCTTAGAACCTGAAACCTGCTAGACAGATTTTCATTTATTTATTAGTCTTTTGGTCTTCTGAGCCAGGGTCTCCTTCTGAACTTTAGGCTGGCCTTGAACTCACACCAGTCCTCCTGCCTCAGCCTCCCAAGCGCTGGGATTTGCACACCGGCTCATTTTTGACTCAAATGGAAAATGTTAGTATTGTAAATGCTCCCCAGTGGGAGGTGGGAAACAGATCTGAATCACCCAGGGGAACTTTTTCAAATTACACCTGCTGTAGCCCACAGCAGTGGAGATTCTGACACACCTGCTCTCTCTCCTGCCGCAAGCCTACAGAGCAACTTTGCGGTCCACACACATGAAAAAGCAGCCCTTTCTTAAGATGATTTATGTTTTAAATATAAAAAGTGACAGGGGCCGGGGATTTAGCTTAGTGGTTCCGAGGTGCCTGTCTCAAAAGTGCAAGGACCCGAGTTCGATCCCCAGTATCAAAAAAAAAAAAAAGAGCTACAAACACAAACAGTGCCCTGTAGAACTGTGCAGTGCCCAACCTGCACAGCTGTTCATGGGGGTCCTGAGTTCTGAGGACAGGAATTAGTGATGCTGGGTGGTGACAGATTGGATGTGTGCATTTTGAAAAATCTCCACGCAGTCCTGCTCATGCTGCTGAAATGTTAAACTGAACCCAAAATAGATCTCAATTATTTGAAAAACCCAAACCAAACAGGCCTAGAAAGACTTGGAGGAAAGAGATCAAAATGTCAGCGGTGGGATGTGGCCTTTCGGGTAATGTTTTCTCCTTTCTACCTGTCTCTGTGTTGTAAGTTTTCTACTGTGCGCTGCCTTGGCACTCAAGTCACACAGAAGAAACCATCTCAAAAGCAAAAGGAAAGGTGTGAAGAGGCTGAGCTCTTCTTTCCCAAGTCTGTGTCATTTCACGAGCGGTGGCGGGTGGCTCTGCTGCTGTCTGCTCCAGCCCGGTGTGGGGCAGGAGACGTACCCAGAGCAGCAAACGTGTCCCTCAGGTCATTCTTGTCAATGAAGCCATCACGGTTCTGGTCCATGATGGTGAAGGCCTGCGGAGGGAGGGTTGGCATCAGCCCGGTGACAGCTGGAGGGCCTGAGAAGGCCGGGGATGGGGTGGGGTTTGGGGGTCACCAAGGAGCTCGTAGGATGTTAGGTCAAGAGCCAAAGATCAAAGCTGGGCTCAGGGTACACAACTGGAATCCCAGAACTCTGGGAGGCTGAGGCAGGAGGATTGCAAGTTCAAGCCCAGCTTGGGCAACTTAGACCCTGGGAGGGGGTGTAGTTCAGTGTGAAGGCCGTGGGTTCAATTCCCAGTTATTTAAAAAAAAGACTACATTTTACAGCTCTCAACATGCTGCTTTTCCCTCCCAAATGGCAAAAAAGAAAAATGAAAAGAAAGTTTCCACTTAATAACTAATGACCCAGTATGGAGGGAAAGGCGGGGAAAGGTGGACTCCAAGGCTGCAGAGGGAACCGGGATTCACACGGCTCAGAGCTCTGGAAAGCAATTCCAACAGCAGGTCTGCTCCCTCCCTCCTTTCAGGTTCTTTGACCCCAAGGTTCTGGTATTAGGGTTTTACCAAGGAAATAGCCTGAGATATTAGCAAAGACTTGTGTATCATCCAACCATAGGAAGCTCTTTAAATAAGCAAGAGAAAATGTTGATGCTGAACTGCTCAAAGAAAAAAAATGTAGGCACTCATAGGAGGCCAGGAGAGTATAACTGTTTAACAACTATGTAACCAAAATGGCTTGGACAACACCAGCTGATAGAATTGCGGGTAGCTAAAGAATTTTCCTACATTTTAAATAAGGAATATATTTGTTTGATAACCAGAAAAAGTTATTAAAATAATTTCTTGGGCTGGGGATTTAGCTCAGTGGTTCCAGCTCCTGCCTTGGAAGCACAAGGTCCTGAGTTCGATCTCAGGTACCAAAAAAAAAATTTCTTGAAAAGGTTCACATATAAACCAGGCATGGTGGTGCACGCCTGTAGTCCCAGCTCTCAGGAGGCTGAGGCAGGAGGATCACTGTGAGTTTGAGGCCAGCCTGGGCTACACTGTAAGACCCTGTCTCAAAAACAACAAAAAAGGCACACGCAGGCGCGGAGCAGACTCTGGAGGAGACAGACCTCCGTCCCAGGTCCTGGCTGGGAACAGGGAGGACAGGAGGGCTCTGCATACAGGGAGCTGGGAAGTGGCCAGGGGCTGAGCCCTCGCCGGGCACGCAGGACCCCGCTCCTACCTCCTTGAACTCCTGGATCTGGGTCTGCTCGAACATGGAGAACACGTTGGAGTTGGCCCCCTCCGCCCTCTTCTTGGCTTTCTTGGGGGCCTGGGGGACAGTGGCGGTCAGAGGAGGCCGGGGTGGAAGCCGCGACGGAGGACCCTTTCCTGGGGTTGCGACCCATCTGCGCTACCTCCCCAAAACTCGCCTGTGGCCCACACGGGAGTGAGGGCTCAGCGAATGGACATGGGCGGTGCAGAGCAGAGCGCACACCCCGCCTACTTCACTGACCCCAACAATTCAGGATTAATTCTCCTAACCACGCCGTCAAGTGAATGCAATGATTGCTGTGCCCCTTTCACAGGGAAGCAACTGTGGCTCAGAGAGGTTAGGTCACCCGCCCAAGGTCACACAGCCTCAAAAATGCAGAGTCTGAATTGAACTCTGGCTGTCTGACTCCAGACTCTGTGTGTGCTCCTGACCGCTGACCCACCCTGTCCCTGTGCTGGGGCCTGGGAGGGGACACTGCCCAGACAACACAGGAGGAAAGGTTTTAAATTTGCAAGTTCAAAAGGTGAAAAAAAAGATTCTTTTCCCCAGCTGCCTGAACAAGAGAAAAGAATTACAATTTGATCCTTAAAAGCGCTCGATCCCATTTTGCAAGCCCTGAGAGTTATTGATTCCTCGAGAGGTCAGTAGACAAGCCATAAAAAGCCAACTCTCTCATTTTGTTTCTGAGTCTCTGGGGCTGCTGTTATTTGTGGCCGACTCAGGCATTGACAGGGGTTCCTTCGCACGGGCGGATCCTCAAAGCCACCCTCTCCCTCTTGGCTCAGGTCCTGTCGACCCCAGCATCCTCCAGCCACTCACCATGGTGCAGCGACAGCACGGCTTCCCGAGAAGAATTCCACCCGCTGCCCGGCTCTCCTGCGCCCTCGAACAATAAATACTTCCTCCCCGGGGTTAAAAATAACCTCATGACCACTTTTGGCAGTAATAGGTGAGGCAGACACCACCTAAGGCCCCCCCACCCCATGCCGTTCTTCTGAAGTAAGGGTTGCTTGCTGGCTGCCATCACCGCCCAGTGACACGTGAGACCCAAAAATGCATTCAAGGTTAAAGAGGCACAGCTGGGTCACAGTCAAGGGGAGAGATGCTGTGTGCTCTCTGCCACTCGTGGGCGGGCGACACTTGTGCTTGTCAATTTGGGGAAAGAAAAAGGAAGAGGAGATCTCGAGCCTTCTGTGACACTATCAGGCACGGGCAGCCCCAGGGCCTTTGCGCCTATGGTCTGCTGTACCAGGCACACCTGTCGGGCATCACCCTGGCTCCCTCCTTCCATCTTTGCTTGAATGTCACTCCCATCTCCCTTCTCTGCTTTGTTTTCCTCCACAGCTTCTATGGGTCCCCAGCATCTGGTGCAACTCGCTAATTATTTTATTGGGTCCCCTTCTGGTCTCCTCCAGTTCCTGCCTCCTGCCTGGTGCCCAGCTGCTGCTCAGCAACAGATGTCTGTTGACTAAAGAAATGGCAACTCTACGTGCTGCGACCACGTGCTTTCCCTGTGCCAGGCTCGTAGGAAAGCATCCAACCCCCTGTGGGCTGGGGACCACCGGATCATCTGTGTCCCCATTTTACAGATGTGGAAACTGAGGCTCAGAGAGGCAAAGTGAGCTTCCTGGGGCCACGGAAGACTGGAGTGGGAGTGGATGTGAGGCCCGTTATGGGCTCTGAGTGGAGCCAGGTGTGGGCACGCAGTGGCTTCCTCCATGGCCTCGAAGCGGCCAGGACTGCAGGCGAACTCCTGCAGGCGAACTCCGTCCTGGGCTTACCCAGGGGCTGTGGGCGGCAGGTCTGAGCAGCAGGCCCCCGCCTCAGGGAACATCTGCTCCACCCCGGGGTGTGGCACAGGGTGAGGCCACACAGGGGTTCAGTCTGCTGGGGCGGGGTGACAGCCCCAAGTGACAAAGACCCGTCCCTCTCTCGTGCTGCTTCCATGCCAGGCGCAAGTGTATGAAAATAAGCCAGTACACGGCCCAGGCCGAGCTGCGCAGGAGACGCCGCGCAGGGAGGAGCTGGTCGTGCACGGTGATGACCAAGCGGAGGTGCTCCAGCTGGGGTCCAGGCGTCGCCCTGAGCGACTAAAAAATAAAATAAACAATGTACGGGTATCTCCTCTCTTCCGCCACACATAGGCCGGAATTACTCAAGAGCCCCTTATATTGGAATTTCTAACAGCAAAGGGTTTTGGGATGTGTGCACACACGCATGCGCGCGGAGGCAACCACACCAATACATGCGCACAGACAAAAAGCAAATCACATGTGCATGTGCAGAGAAAAGCAAGTTTGCTCGTGTGCCTGCAGACAGACGAAAGCGCTCCCGTGAGTTTGCACCCATGCAGGACGCACGCACCTGCCTGTGTGCGTAGATGGGCCAAGAGGGTCTTGTTGGATAGGGCTCTATGCCAGCCCCATCGCCGTGGTCTCTCCCATGGCTAGTTGGTGTGCCAGGGATTTTCATTAAAGCATCATGTGAGCAGTCGGGAACTATCACGGCCGAGCGAAGCGTGTGTCACAGTTGCCGCAGACATGGAGAGCACCGTAGGGTGAGGAGCCGTGGGTGGGAGAGGTGTGGGTTCTCAGGGCCCCCGAATCACTTAGGGTCTCGGTTCATCATCTGGACCGTGGACAGCATGACAGGCCCATGAGGGAGGTCGGAGTGGGTTGAGTCAGGGGCTGGGGGGGCGCAGTGGCCGCAATGGGTGTGGGCTGTGTCAGGCTTTGGGGTCTAGGGAGGAGACTTGGAGACCCAGTTTCTCCTCACCCCTACTAATGGGTTGGGTCACCCCACTCCCCAAAACCAGAGACAAGGTCCTGGGAGTGGGGAACCTTGGGAGAATTTGGAGTTTGATTCTGTGTGGACTTGAGGGGTGTGTGTCAGTCTGCACTGCCAGAGCGCATGGCGTGGTGGAGGTAGGAGCCTCGAGGGCACCTCCAGGCTGGTGGCTGAGGGCCATCCCCTATGAACCCCCCTTTGCTGACCCTGGGATTCCTACAGCAAAGAAGTTTCCAGCGCCCAGATCTGAGTACCACTGAGCCCAGGAGAAAAATAACTGCACACCGGAGGCTTTCAGAGGCCAGAGAGAAGACTGGGCAGAACAATCAGACAGCAACTTCTAGAACAATCAGAAAATAAACCAAGTGCGTTCATTTCCTATTACTGCTATAAAAATATTATCATAAACCTGGCAGCTTAAACCAGCACATATTTATCATCTGGCAGTACTGGTGGAGGTCAGAAGTGGAAAATGACCGGCAGGGCTGTGTTCCTCCTTCAGGCTCTTGTGGAGAATCTGCTACTGCCTTTTCCAGCTCCCCACATTCCTTGGCCCATGTCCCCATCATTCCAGCCTCTGAATCCAGCCACTCAGACTCGTCTGCTTCCCTCTCATCTTTTGAGGACCCTGTGACTGCTTGGTCCAGCTGGCAAATTCAGGATCATCTCTATCTCAAGGCTCTTACTTAAGTCACCTCTGCAAAGACTTTCTGTCCCGGAAGGTCGCATATTTTCAGGCTCCGGGGCTTAGGACATGAGCTTCTCTGGGAAACCTTTTTGGTGCCTTCCACACCTAAAGAAATAGGACCCTGCAGGAAACAGCTCAACAGCTTAGTAGCATTAACAACAATAAAGCTTAGGTATGCTAAAATGCTTGGAAATATACACCAGAAAAACCCCCAAAACCAAGACACCGAAATCTCAGCCCCCCTCAAGAAAACCTCCAGAATTATCAGAACTAAATTTCTCATCTCTGTAAATTTCCCAATCTGTGGTGTTGTGTAATAGCAACACAAACTGGACCAAATCCAGGGAGATACATACATATAAGAACCTTAAATTTGAGAAAAGTGCGAGTTTAGGGTCAACTGTGCAACCTTCAATTTTGGAAAGGTAGTAATGTATTAACTTGCTTATTTTTAAAAGCCCAGACATTAGTTTACTCCATAAAACAAAACCAAAAACTCAAAAATGAAAAACAAAACCTTAGGGAAATTCAAGTGAAGCAACAGATGACTTCTGGAAGCTTTCATCCTGATTTCCACACCAGGAATTGAGTACATGAGTTACAGGAAGGCTGGTCCCTATTACAATCCAAATAGCAGGCTGGAAGATGATGTCTCAGAGCAAATGAAGAGATGCAAATAATAAACATTCCAGAAACAAAATCAGTAAGTCATAGAAGAAAATGTTCTTAGGCTGAGAAAAGAACAAAATGTGTAGACTGAAAAAACTCCCAAGCTCTAAGAAGGAAAAGATTGAAAAATGTACACCATCCAAGGGTGTCAGTGTGTCCCTGGAATCCCAGCAATCGGGAGCCTGAGGCAGGAGGACTGCCAGGAGTTCAAGGCCATTCTGGGGTACAGTGAGTTCAAGGCCAGCCTGAACTGCATAGCGAGACCCTGTCTCAAAAAACAAAATAAACAAAAACGCACACACTAAAGTATATCCTGGCAAAATCCATGCACTCCAAGGATCAAGAGAAAATCTGATGTGTTTCAGAGGAAAAAGAACATACCTGGTGAAAGCAATTGGACTTGCCCCATACGTCTTGGCAAGGACTAAGGCAAGGACACAGAAATCAGAGAGCTTTGATCCAGAGACCCTGTCTGTAATGTATTTGTCACCTTCTGGAGTGGGGACAGGAGGAATATTGGGTTTCATTGCTCCTTGTCCCAGCCTAATGTGGTAGCCCAGAGCTTTGTCAGTGGACAAGCCAAGGTTTGAATCCATGCCAGCTTGGGCACTTTAGGTAGACTTCGCCTCTCAGAGTCTCAGTTTTCTTGTCTGTAAAATGGGGACAATATGTTCACCTCATTGGGTTGTCATGAGGATTATATCCAAGCAGAAGTGCTCAGTAAGTATTAGTCACTGTGATTATTTTGGGATGTTTGTTCATTCTTGGAATGCCCAGTTGGGACCAGGTGATTTCTGGCTTCTTCCCTGGCCTGGGAAATGTATTCTTATTAGGTGGCAGGGAATCGATGTCCGGGGACAGTCCTCTCTCCACTTACCGTTTGGAGACCCATGGTGTGCCACAGGGTCTCAGCTCAGTGCTTCCATCTGGACTTGCGTTCAGCACCCTTGCCGGATGCACCCTGCTCTTAATAGGAGGGAGGGCGTGGAATGAGGGAGAGAGGTAAGGAGCTTTTGGATCCCTAGAAACCCTGGAGCCCTGCTTTGCAGATCATTGCTCCTGATGGCTTTTTCAAGTCAATATGAGTTTCAATTTCCAAACAACGTGAGCAAGAACAGGCGAGACAAAGTCTGTGCTCTTCAACGCCCGGCTAGCAGAGGGCAGTGACTAAGGGATGATCAGAGCTGGGGCGGGGGTCCAAGTTGAGCATAAGAGCAAAAGCAGAAGCAGAAAGTCCAGGTTAGGCAGAATTTGAGATAATAGTGAGAAATGGGGCCCTTTGTGGGGTGGGAGGTCATGTGTCTGAAGATACTGTGCCAGGCAGATCTAGGGATGTGACCCAGTGGTAGAGCCCTTGCTTAGCATGTATGAGTTTAATCCTCCTTGCAGCCAAAAAAGAAAAACATTAATTCATGCTATTGTGTGTGAATACGTTCTATAGAGCAGTTCCAGAAATGCATGGATTTCAGAGAGCCTTTCAAGGGTCTCCTCCCGTCATGGCAGCCAAATACTCCCTACTGGGAACCTGTTGTAGCTGCCTGGTGTTCAGTTCGTTTGTTTTTCAGTACTGGGTATTAAACCCAGAGTCTTCACTCTGAGCTACATCTTTCCCTGGCCATTTTTTAAATTTTGAGACAGGGTCTTGCTAAGAGTCACTAAATCGCCTGGGCTAGGCTTGACTTTCAATCCTCCTGCCACAGCCTCCCAGAGTGCTGGGATTCAGGCATGTACAGTCATGTGTGACCTGATTCTTTGCTTTTAAAACTGAGATACACCTGTGGTACAGTGCATGTAATCTCCCAAATGTCCAGCGTGGTGACTTTTCACATCGGTGTTCACTGTGTGACCCAGGTCAGGATGCAGAGCCTTCTGGCTCCCTGATTTTTTCTAGTTGCCCCCCTCCGGCAGTGCCCCTGAAAGTCCTGACTTCCCAGCCTTGCACCATGGCCTGGTTTTGTGGTTCTAAAATTTCTTTCTAAGTTAAACTTTTGTTTTAGAATTTGCATAGAAGTCATGGACTTCACCACACCAGCCTTAACATCAGTTTTTCCTGATGTTAACATCTTCTGTGACCACATCGGCCTGTCACCGTTGACTACATGTCGGAAGATATTCAAATGCCACAGGTTTTCCACTCTTGTCCCTTGTCTGCTCCAGGTTCTAACCCAGGACACAGGTTGGATTTGGCCTCCCAGACTTCTCTGTCTCACATACACCTGTACACGCAAATAGACCTTGGTCATGTTAATGGCATCACATCATGGACATACGCACACACCCCTGCTGTGGGTTTGCCACTCCACGCCAGGCCTTGGAGATCTGCCTCGCAGTCCCTTGATCCCCGAGATGGTGGTGGCCACGTGAGCTCCTCTTTGCAGCTGAGCCCAGCTGTGATTCACACTCAGAGCGCCAGCTAAGCAGGGTGCCAACAGTGACAGCAAAATACCAACAAACTTTGTGGAAGGACTAGGTCTGTTTCTTTAAAGGGCTAAGGTCGCCATGAGGAAATCGGAGCGTTATGAGATGTTCTTGTGCTAGTTGGATCTCAGGCGAGTGTGTCACAGAGTCGGCATCTTTTCAGCCTTTCGGGTTCCCAGCCCTGTTGGCACATTTTAATTTTTCTCCTTTGCAGGTGTTTTTTCCACTTTTGTTTCCAGAATCCAAGTCTAAGTCTTTACGACCTCCATTGTCAGGAAAGAAAGGAAATCCTTTTCCACATGGTTTTGGAGGACCCAGCGGCCCACAAGGGGGTCCACTGGTATCAGTGGACTGAGGCATTCACTAGTGACACATTAACATTTAAGACAGCCTGGCGGGGCAAGTCTCCTGTAATTGCCGCACTACACTGGTCAGCCTGCCTCAGGCGGGAGGCCCAGTGAGGAGGGTGTGGAGTCGGTTGTCTCTCACAGAACAAATGCCTACCAGGCCCTGCCAACCTGGGCTGATGGGCTCTGTCACCAAGTGATAG